AAAGTTTCAATTACATTAAATAAGCACATTGATATATACGAAAGTGAAATACACATTCACAAACTAATATGGAGTATAATGAGACCTAAAAAAATGTTAAAATTACAAAGAAAAAAATAACAATATTGACTTTAAAATGTAAAATCATATCACGACGAATGTTTCCCGGTTCTGACACCCGAGAGCCTTGAGCAAACCTGTTTGGCTGAAATATCGTAGAAACGGAAGCATTTACATACATACCAACCAATTCCTACGTATTATATTAACATATCGAACACAAATTTTACTTTTTACATTTATACCAAGCATTTCAGAGCAGCAAGCTTTGGAATAACATGGAAGGGAAACTCTGCCCTTCTCCCAGTACTGAAATTAAAAAGTGCCATGAGTATGTCTTCGCAAGAGCAGTCCAGAAAACCAAATTGACTTAAAATTTATAACCTTTGTATCTTTGAATAATCATAGAGACTTTTCAACTGATATAGAGAATGCAAATCCTCCCCAATGATGTGCGGTAGAAATAAATATAATCAAGCCAAACAATTTCCTTACTTCGAATCCAGAATCAAATGCACACTTCTTCTCTTCCCATTCAATGTGAGAAAATGACATCCATGAACTGCAACTTCATCCAATTCAAAAAATCATATTCTCATAGCTCAATATTATTCCAAACTAGTCTCCTTCCCAGTTCATCAAAACCTCAACTTGAATCAAAATCTGCACCAACTCCTACGGCCATCTTCCACCATGCTCTGATCTACTCCGAAACTTCTGCGTGGATCAATGCTCGCTTACGCTCCCAGATGCAAACTATTTGATTTTCTGCAAAACATGTCTGCTTTTACCCATCCAAAGCGGACCAAAGCTCGAACGCATTCGAAGCAGAACTGAATCATCCTCTACATAACCCGTAGATGCGTGTAACACATCAGATTGCGATATTCCTCTCTTCGCTCCTTCACACAAGCCTATATTGATTCTCGTTTCTGCGTCCTTCGCTGATTAAGAGGGAGAGGGAGAGGCTAGGGCAGAGCTCTCGACCGCGAAGTGAAAGAATGCCGAAGAAGGGGGAGCGGCTAGGGCAGAGCTTTCAAATGGCGATGAAGGAGTGACTTCTTCCGCGAGGGCAGCGGAGCGAATCGCGACGAGGGCAGTAAACTAAATACGCAGTTTTCATAGGCGACCAAAATGCAATCCAAACAGGAAGGAGGGTTTTCAAAACGCCGCCTGCCCCAAACGGGCCTAAGATGGTGATTATTGGGAAATTGAAGCTATGTTTGGGTTCAGTTGGAGTCCATGAAGGTTGAGATCATAGGTGAGCCATACTATATGATAGAACTATCAAGATTGTACAGATAGAGGTGCACAACTAGAAGAGGGATAATAGGTGCAAGCCAGCCTCTAAGTTGGAGATTGTTAAGTGTTGAGTATGTTTGCACGCCAACACCAAGCAGCTGTGATAGAAGGAGCCAGAATTGGGCGACAGTGTAACTGGTTCTAGAGGGGGTTGCACCCCCGTGCCAGAGGGGGGCGCTTATGCACTAATATTCCTTCAACAAATGAAGTGCTAGAAAATCCAGCTCTAATTCGGGGTGCGGTAACACTATGGTTTTAGCCATTTTCATGTTCAAAAACATAACACTCAAAATTCTAGAGCATAGGAGGGGAGCGATAGCACCCATATTCATGACCCCAACCCAGCAAGTAAAAAGGCAATGCCAGGAGAGACGCTATGGTCCCAAGAACAATTTGTATGCAGTTAAGCATTTAAGCCTTTATTTTATCAAGTATCTCTCTCGCGTGTATTTTCAACGGTTTATAACAGGTGCAAAGCGGCATCTGTGTTGAGAAAGTGAATTATTGTGAATGTTGTCTCTTGAGAGATCAAGAAAGGAAGGAGCACGAATTGTAATAAGTTTCAGTGGTATAAAGTGTGAATCTGAGTGGCATAATTTTGTACCATTTTGCTTTCATACTAAAACTTCTAGTGTGGTGTAGCTTCGTGGTTTTTTTTTTCGGCTCTCGGGTTTTTCCACGTTAAATCCTGGTGTGCCTTTTTTAGATTTCAATGTTGTGCTCTTTTGTTCGAATTTTTGTTCTGGATCTCATGAATATGTGTGTTCTCTGTGGTTCACTTTTGGTTGTGAATCGATCAAATACCAAGCTTCCATCCCAATAAGACTTCACTCCTTGTAATTTCTCATTGCCATATAGCATTCAAGGGAATATATTCATTGAAATGAATCGGCAAATAAAAAGATCATCATTAGTCACAAAGTAAAAAATACATACACACTAAATTTTAATATTTTCTTAATATAGTAATAAACAAATTATCAAAATAAAAATTATTTCGTTCCTCCTTATAAATGATTGTCTATAGTTAAGAAACAAATTATAAAGAAGAAATTTTTTGACTTAATCCCTCATGAAGGATTTATTTTGTTACTTAAGCAATAAGTTTATCCACTTTCAAAAAATATGTTGGTTCAGCCCCTGCTTGTCAATGTGACACTTTGATTCTTGCTAAAAAGTGAACATGTCCATCTGAATCTATCATAATTTCTTCAAATAAAGACAGATCATTTGCATTGAAAGAGGAGAATAAAACATGTCGAAGGCAGAGTTAGATAGTAACTATGTAATCTAACATATCATAAATTGTAATTATATAGCATGTGAGATGAATATAACATAAAGTATTGCCACTATCAACATTCTCTAATGATTTGCTTGATAAAAAATTATGGTGATAAGGATAAAATATAATCAAGCAAATCATGATAAGGATCAATTAGTTGAGGTGGTCTTGGAAATGGTATAACTAGGGCATTATGCAAAATCATGGTTGTTTATAGGATTTGAAATGTCAAACATTAGTGACTTACTAGTATGATTTGTAGTGTGGATCACTTTGAAAAGAGTGCTTACTAACCATCTTTCTAGGGTGAATGCTAAGTAGATTTGGATGGAAGTCTGTACTTACATATCTAACTCCTAAGCTTTAATTATATATATATATATATATATATATATATATATATA